ATTTTCGTTTCTATTTTTCGATTTTTCAATTTCTTAATTTACAGACTTCGAGTTATGAATTTTTTTTTCCAATTTTCCAATTTCTCAAATTTTCGGCTTTTAGATTTTTCGAACCCATTTCCGATTTCTTGATTTTTGAACTTTTCGATTTCTTGATTTGTTATTTAAGTTTTTCAGTTTTTGGTTCCAATTTTTCCATTTTTCGGGTTTTGAATTTTTGAGCTTTTTTGTATTTTCATTGTCTCGATTTTTGGATTATTCAATTTTTCAATTTTTTGATTTGTAGTTTTCCCCTGGATTTCTCGATTTTTCTATTCCTTTATTTTGAATTTTTCAATTTTTCGATTTTTTCCATTTTTTGATTTCTCGACTTATCGGGTATCAATTTTTCGATTCTCGAATTTCTTATTTCAATTTTAATTTTTCGATTTGTCGATATCTCGATTATTCGATTTTTTTGTTTCGATTTTTTTCTATGTTTACTTTATTTCTCGATTTTTCGAATCTCCAATTTTCGACATTTTGATGTTCCGATTTTTCTAATTTTGAATTTTTGAACTTTTCTGTCTTTCCATTTTCTCAATTTTTCGGTTTTTTTAAATCTTAGATTTTTTGGTTTTCCAAAATTGTCCATTTTTCAATTTTTTGATTTCTCGATTTTTCGAGTATCAGTTTTTCGATTCTTTAATTTTTCGTTTGAATTTTTCGACTTTTGATGTTCCGATTGTTTGAATTTTTGAATGTTTGAACTTTTCTGTCTTTCCATTTTCTCGATTTTTGGAATATCCAATTTTTCGGTTTTTTAAATTTTAGATTTTTTGGTTTTCCAATTTTTTAATCTTGCCATTTTATTTCTCGAATTCTCAATTTTTCAATTTTTTGATTTGTAGATTTCTCCCTGGATTCCTCGATTTCTGGATTTTTCGATTCTTTGATTTTGAATTTTTGAATTTTTAGATTTTTTCCATTTTTCGATTTTTTGATTTTTCATTTTTTCAATTTTTTATTGTTTGATGTTTCAATTTTTCGATTTCAGGATTTTTCAATTTCTCAATTTACAGACATTTCGATTTCTGAAATTTTTGACATTTCAGTTTAGGGATTTTTCAGTTTTTCGATTCTCCAATTTCTCAATTTTCAATTCCATTCGCGATTTCTTGATTTCTTAATTTTTCGATTTTTCGATTTCTTAATTTTTGATTTTTTAGTTTTTCGTCCCAATTTTTCGATTTTCCGAGTTTTGAACTTTTCTGTCTTTCCATTTTCTCGATTTTTAGACTATTCAGTTTTTCGGTTTTTTAAATTTTAAATTTTTTAGTTTTCCAATTTTTTAATTTTTCGATTTTTGATTTCTAGAATTCTCAATTTTTCAATTTTTCGAGTTTTTGAGGTCTAGAATTATCCCCATATTTTTATTTTTATTTTGGATTTCTCAATTTTTCAATTCTCCAGTTTTTCGTTTCCATTTTTCGATTTGTCGATTTCTCGATTTTTGGATTTCTTGTATTTTAGTTTTCTTAAAAATCCGATTGAAATATTTAAAAACCAAAAAATAAAGAAATCGAGAAATCTGTAAATTGAAAAATCCAGAAAAATCGAATATTGAAGAAATCGTCAAATCGAAAAGCCAAACGAAAAATCGAAATATCCAAAATTTAAAAAATGAGAATGAAAAGTCAAAAAATCCAAAAACCACCAAGTGGAAAAATTAAAAATTCAATATTAAAAAAATGGAAAAATGGAAAATCTGTCAAACCGAAATACTAGAAAATCGGAAAATAGAGAAATTGAAACAAAAAAATGGACCCACTGAAAAATTGAAAAAGTCAAAAATCGAGAAATCGAGAAGTAGGAAAATCGAAAAATATATTTTCTCCTCGGAATTCACAATTTCTTGATTTTTTGATTTTTCAGTTTTTCGTTTCTTCAATTATTCGATTTTTCGATTTCACGATTTCTCAATATCTCAATTTATAGACTTTTCGATATGTCAAATGTTTGATATTTCAGTTTACGTATTTCTCAATTTTTCGATTTTCGAGTTTTGAATTATTGAGTTTTCATTTTTGCCATTTTCCGAGTTCTTGATTTTTCTATTATTCAATTTTTCGATTTTTTAAATTTTAGATTTTTAGTTTTTCAATGTTTCCATTTTTCGATTTTTTGATTTGTAGATTTTTCCTTGGATTTCCGATTCTTCGATTTTCCGAATGTCAATTTTTTGATTCCCCAATTTTTCAATTTTTCAACTTCTCGACTTTCGTTTCTATTTTTCGATTTTTCAATTTTTCGATTTTTCAATTTCTTAATTTACAGATTTTTCGACTTCTGAATTTTTTTATATTTCAGTTTAGGGATTTTTCAGTTTTCCAATTTTCCAATTTTTCAAATTTTTGACTTTTAGATTTTTCGATTCCATTTCCGTTTTCTTGATTTTTGAACTTTTCGATTACTCGATTTCTTAATTAAGTTTTTCAGTTTTTGGTTTCAATTTTCGATTTTTCAAGTTTTGAATTTTGGAACTTTTCTGTCTTTCCATTGTCTCGATTTTTGGATTATTCAATTTTTTGATTTTTTGATTTGTAGTTTTCTACCTGGATTTCTCGATTTTTCGATTCCTTGATTTTGAATTTTTCAGTTTTTTCCATTTTTCAATTTTCGATTTTCTCGTTTCAATTTTAACTTTTCGATTTGTCGATATCTTGATTTCCCGATTTTTTTTCTATTTTTACTTTGTTTCTCGATTTTTCGAATCTTCAATTTTCGACTTTTTGATGTTCCAATTTTTCCAATTTTGAATTTTTGAACTTTTCTGTCTTTCCATTTTCTCAATTTTTCGATTTTTAAATTTTAGATTTTTTTGGATTTCCAATTTTTTAATCTTGCGATTTTCGATTTCTCGATTTGTCAATGTTTTGATTTTTTTCTATTTTTACTTTATTTCTCGGTTATTCGAATCTTGAATTTTTCAATTTTTTGATGTCCCAATGTTTAAATTTTTCGGTTTTTTAAATTTTAGATTTTTTAGTTTTCAAATTTTTTAATTTTTCGATTTTCCATTTCTCGAATTCTCAGTTTTTCGATTTTTCGAGTTTTTGATTTGGAGATTTCACCCCGGATTTCTCGATTTTTCGATTCCTTGATTTTGGTTTTTGGATTTTTTCGATTCTTTCCGTTTTTTGATTTCTCGATTTTTCGTTTCAATTTTTCGATCTGTCGATTTCTCGATTATTTGTTCTTTCGATTTCTTGATTTTTCAATTATTCGGTGTTCCCATTTTTCGATTTTTCAATTAACGATTTTTTTCTATTTTTACTTTATTTCTCGATTTTTTGAATCGAAAAATCGAATAATTCAAAATTAAAAAATGAAAAATTGAATAATCGAAACTGTAAAACTGAAAATTTGGAAAATCGAAAAGTCCATAAATCGACAAATCGACTTTTCGATTTCTGAAATTTTTCATATTTTAGTTTGGGGATTTTTAAGTTTTTCGATTCTCCACTCTCTCAATTTTTCGACTTTTAGATTTTTCGATTCCATTTCCGATTTCTCGATTTTTAAATTCTTCGATTTTTCGAGTTCTTAATTTTTGTTGATTTTTCAGTTTTATATTCCAATTTTTCGGTTTTTCGATTTGTAGATTTCCAGTGGATTTCTCGATTTTTCGATTCCTTGACTTTGAATTTTTCGATTTTTTCCATTTTTCGATTTCTTGATTTTTCAATTTTTGGATTTTTCAGTGTTTTGATTTTTCGATTTGTGAATGTTTTGTTTTTTTCTATTTTTACTTTATTTCTCGATTATTCAAATCTTCAATTTTTCAATTCTTTGATGTCCCAATGTCTCGATTTTTCGAGTTTTTGATTTGTAGATTTCTCCCCGGATTTCTCGATTTTTCGATTCCTTGATTTTGGATGTTGGATTTTTGCCATACTTTCCATTTTTTGATTTCTCGATTATTTGTTGTCTCGATTTTTTGATTTTTCATATTTTCGGTATTTCCATTTTTCGATTTTTCAATTAACGATTTTTTTCTATTTTTACTTTATTTCTCGATTTTTCGAATCGACAAATCGAAAAGCCAAAAAAAAATTAAAGATTGAAAAATAAAAAATTTGATATCTTCAAAAATCGAAAAAATGAAAAATCGGAGCACTGAAAAATCGCAATATCTAGAATAAAAGAAAAATGGAAAAATTTTAAACTCGAAAATTTGAAAAATCAATAAAACGGGAAAACTAGAAATCGAAAAATCTATAATTTAAAAAATTGGAGAACTGAAAAGTCTAAAAGTGTAATTCAACTAATCCAAAAATGGAAAAACTGAAAATCCGAAAAATTAAGAAATCTAGAAATCTAAAAATCGAAAAATTCAAAAATCGAAGAATCGAAAAATAGAAACTTCAAAAAATGAACAAATTGAAAAATCTTAAAATTGAAGAATCGAATCAGCAATTGAAGAATCTAAGATTTGAGACATCGAAAAATCCCATAACGAATCTGTTCATAAATCAAAATCAGTCACATCAAACCACTTATCAGTTTATTAATATTTGCAACTCGCTTTAGTTTAATTGCTTTTCCACTTACTTCACTGATTGCTGTTTTAGCGACCTATATTCCTTATCATTAAAAAACCCATAAAGATATAGTTTATTTCCTTTTCACACTATAACTTACATCCATAAACTAACTTAAAACACATAATCCTAAACATAAACAACGCTCTAATCTAATTAGATTCTTTGTCAAATAACAACCAACCCAAATGCCACAATAACAGTTTTTTTCCAATTTTCACGCGCTAAAAGACACTTCCTGCCCCACATTTTAATCATCACCATAAACCCGATCGTTTACAGCCGTCCGCTCGTTAAAATTACAACTCTTTTTTAATTATTTCATTCTTATCGACTCATAAAACTTTTACAGCTCCGATACCCGAAATAAACGAGTCCGGCCCTGTTGTTCCGGATCGCGCTTCGTTCTCCTCCAGATGGCGCTGCCTCTCCCGTCAAAACTGACACTGTTGACATTCCGTCACCTGTCATTCCACTATTATGATTATCGATTCCAAGACGCCCCATTGACGCCACCAGCCCCAAACCCACCGAAATGACCATGGAACAGGCGATGGAGGACCTCACCGAGAAGGTACGCCGCCGCCGCAACCGCCCAATCTCGATTTTTTCTTGCAGATGAAAAAGACCGACCAGAAGCTCGACGATCTCGCCCTCCAGGTCGGCAGCATCGAGAACGAGTACTTCAGCGAGAACTGCGCCGAGATCGAGGTGAACGACCTCCTCAGGTCCGTCAACGAGGTGAAGACCAACTACCAGAACCTGCGCAAGGAGATCGTCGAGGTCCAGGACCTGCAGAAGCAGCTCAGCACCACCCTCCAGCTCCAGCTGAAGATGATGCAGGCCAAGTTCAACACGCTTAAGGAGAAAGTCGGCGCCGCCAGCAAGCTGGAAAATCCCACACAAAACTGAGTATTTTTCGTTGAGCCAAGCTTTAGGAATAAGACGAGACAACATGGCAATCAAACCTGCGCTAAAGCCAGGCGTTTATTTATTTCGATGCCATTTAGAGCCATTGTAGCCGAATTTCGTTAAGTTGTTAATTAAGACTTTGTGAGCATGGGATCGGGCTTGCATGCACCACACTGACCCAAATTCTAAGTTCATTTGTGATACAATTGAATAGAATAGTGCACGACGTAATCTCTGGTTTTTCGCTGGGGGCTCTTCCGGACACGGTTTAGTTTTTTTTGTGTTTAAGTTGGTAACGCTGCCGCCTGAATTGTTGCAGTGTAAATCAGGTTTACGTTTTAGTAAATTAGTCCAGTGGCGTTCCGTCATTGGTGGTAGCAAACTAGGCGCAAGTACGACTCACACCGTACGAAATTCTAAAGTCGGAATTGTACACTCGTGTGCGATAAAACCCGGAAGGGCTTCCGGCCACTCTTGCATGCATATCCTTACCTGTTGTACATAATCAATGTGGTAACCCATATATCAACTATATACAGTGCATGTTAGTGAAGTCAATTGATGTACAAGACTATTATCCGGGCAGTCGCCTCGACACTTAGCCTAGTGTAAGTCTCTGTAAAACCAATTAATTAAAATTCGTAATCGCGATACGACCGGTCCGATTTACGCGCCAAGGTAGGTAAGTAAAGTGTACGTTTGCATGGCTGTGAAACCCAAGTCCGTAGCTTACGGTTACGAATTTTAATCGTGTACCTGAGCAGATTTTGTGACGAAAATTAATAATAATAATGCCTTACATATTGTACTTTTTTTTCTCTTTGTCTCCACCTCTCGACACGATTATTGTGGAAGTTTCGGCAAAACTTTGCTCAAATCTATCTTCTAAGCACAACTTTTTAAAAACTAGTACTTTTCGAACAGTGGCGCTGGTTGGTGCTCGGAAAGTGTTGTTTTTTGGAGCACAATAATTATTATAAGGCACGTTTGATAGAATTTTTTGTAAGCAATCAAACTGTGTTGGATATTTATATGACTGTTCGTTCAATAAACGATGCAAACCACTGGCTTTGTCTTTTAATGGGTGGGTGTTTTTTTGTAAATAATAAACAAAGAAGCTGAGAAAAGTACGAGTTAAAACGACGAGATTGTTGTTTGTATTTTTCACGACAGGAGTATTGCAAATTTTTGCTTTTAGTGTGAAAAGCAATTCAGGAGTGTCACCGCCAGACGACCGATACGTGAAGATTCAATGGAAACGTGATGGCAAAAGAAATAAAAACGAGACGTGAAAAATCGTCGAAGAACGAAGAGTAAGTAAGAGGGATTCAACGACTTGTGTATTTTTCAAACTTCAAAAATGTAGGTTAGAACAGCCATACTTGTCAAAACGTCAAACTTGACGTGGCCGCCATTTTTACACAAAGCCACACTTACGCACACGAATTTTTGAAAATTCGCACTAGGAAGTATACCAAACACCCTGGATGGGGAGTACTTTTGAAAATGATTTTTTGTTAATGTCTTAATCATGTTTATTGTAAAATTAAATGTAAATAAACCGTTGTTATACCTGTGTTAATTTGATTCCAAAGTGAGTTAGGTTAATTTTCAGACGCACATTCTGAATCAATCGTCGAAAATTTCATTTTTGGGAAATTGGGAGTGAAAATCGAATTTTTTGAGACTTACAGACTGTGACATTTCAATAAGCGATTCTGGAAAAACGGTTATTGGTTAAAGAAATTTCGGGGGACTTTGGTGTTCTATTTTTGGAAAATTCTGCGCTGACCTGTTTTTGAATCAATTTTGGGACCCCGTTTTTTTTTTTGAAAATTTTAAAACAATCTTGAGGTTCTAGGTATTCCTCTTTGGAAAAATTTGAAAGTGCTTTAAAGCCTCTAGTTTTTTCTTTTAATAATTTAATTACATTTATTGGGATACGTCATTTAAGTCATATTTCATTTGCCAAAATCAGTCTTAACTTAGCAAGTACTAGCCCCACCCACTCACCCTCTCTTTTCATCGAGAATATGTCATTTGCCAAAGTCAATCTTATCTTAGCAACCACTAGCCCCGCCCACCCGCCCTCTCTTTTCTTAGAGAATATATAATTTGCCAAAATCTATCTTATCTTAGCAAGTACTAGCCCCACCCACCCACCCTCTCTTTTCTTTCAGGATATGTCATCTGCCAAAATCAGTCTCATCTTAGCAGATATTAGCCCCGCCCACCCACCCTCTCTTTTCTTGGAGGACATTTTATTTGCCAAAATCAGTTTTACCTTAGCTAGTACTTGCCAAAATAAGACTGATTGTGGCAAATTATATAGCCTCTAAGAAAATAGGGGAGGAAGGGCGGGGCTAATACTTGTTAACGTAAGAGTGATTTTGGTAAATGACATACTCTTTAAAAAAAATGAAGGGTGGGTGGGTGGGTGGCGCTTGTATTCACCAAGATAAGCAAATGATATATCTTCTAAGAAAATAGAGGGCGGGTGGGCGGGGCTAGTACTTGATAAGATAAGACTGATTTTGGTAAATGTCATATCTTCTAAGAAAATTAAGGTCGGGTGGGCGGGGCAACAAAAATCGAAAAATTCAAAAATTGAACAATTGAAAAATCGGAAAATGGAAAAATCGAATTTTCGAGAAATCCAAAAATCGAGAATTTGAAAAATTGGAAAATCGATACATCGAAAAATCAAAATATCTAAAATTTGAAAAATGAGTATAAAAAATCGAAATGCCGAAAAGTAGAAAATTCGAAAAATTTAAAATAAAAACAATGAAAAATCGGATAATCGAAAAACTAAAATTGGAAAATCAAATTCGAAAAAACGAAAAATCAAAATATTCTTAATTTAAAAAATGAGAATGGAAGACTAAAACTGAAAAATTGAATAGATAATCGAAAAACTGTAAAATTGAAAAATCGGAAAATTGAGCTATCAAAAAATCTATTATTTAAAAAATCGCAGCATTGAAAAATCAAAATATCTAAATTTAAAAAAATCGAAAAAATTGAAAAATCTAAAAATCGGAAAATGGAAAAATCGAGAACTTGAAAAATTGGAAAATCCAGACATCGAAAATCGAAATATCTAAAAGTTAAAAAATGAGGATAAAAAATCGAAATGCCGAAAAGTCTAAAATAAAAAAAATTGAAAAATCGAATAATTGAAGAACTGTAAAATTAGACTGAAAAAGTTGGAAAATAAAAATCGAAAAAACGAAAAATCAAAATATTTAAAATTTAAAAAATGAGAATGAAAAACTGTAAAACTGAAAAATCGGAAAATTGAACTTAATCAAAAAATCTATTATTTAAAAAATCGCAGCATTGAAAAATCAAAATACCTAAAAATTCGAATAACTTAAAAATTGAAAAATCGATAACACGAGAAATCAAGAAGTCTAAGAATTGAAAAATCGATATACATATGTACCTGAAATTTAAAAAATGGAAAAACTGGAAAAATGGAATAATCGAAAATTTAAACATCAAAAAATATGAAACATCGAGAAACAAAAAAGTCGAAAAATTTTGAAAAATCGAAAAACTTGAAAATTGTAAAGGCGAAAAATTGCCAGATCGAGACATTAAAGAAGAGGAAAACTGAAAAACCGAAAAACCAAGAAAAAAATTGAAAAATCCAAAAATCGAAATATTTAAAATTTAAAAAATGAGAATAAAAAAACGAAAAATCGAGATGCCGAAAAGTGGAAAAATTGAAACATTCAAAATAAAAAAAAAAAAAATGAAAAATTGAATAATCGATAAAGTGTAAAACTGAAAAAATTGTAAAATCAAAAAATCGAAAAACGAAAAATCAAAATATTCAGAATTTAAAAATTAGAACGAAAGACTGTAAAACTGAAAAATTGACTAGATAATCGAAAACCTGTAAAATTGAAAAATCGGAAAATTGAGCTATCAAAAAATCTATTATTTAAAAAATCGCAGCATTTAAAAAATCAAAATAGCTAAAATTAAAAAAATCGAAAAATTAAAAATCGAATAACTTAAAATTTAAAAAAATGGTAAATCGAAATGCCGAAAAGTAGAATAATTGAAAAGTTCTTTGAAGCCTCTAGTGTTTTTTTTTTATAATGATTTAATTAAATTTCTTAGGATACGTCATTTAAGTCATATTTCATTTGCCAAAGTCAGTGTTATCTTAGAAGGTACTGGCCCCGCCCACCCACCCTCTCTTTTCTTAGAGGATATGTCATTTGCCAAAGTCAGTGTGTTGTCTTAGCTGGTACTAGCCCCGCCCACCCACCCTTTCTTTTCTTAGAGGATATGTCATCTGCCAAAGTCACTCTTATCTTAGCAAGTACTAGGCCCGCCCACCCGCCCTCTCTTTTCTTCTTTGCAAATGAGATTCCCTCTAAGAAACAGAGGGCGGGTGGGCGGGGCTAGTACTTGCTAAGATAAGACTGACTTTGGCAGATGAGATACTCTTTAAAAAAATGAAGGGTGGGTGGGTGGGGCTAGAATTCGTTAAAATAAAACTGATTGTGGCAAGTGATATACTTTCCAAAAAAATAGGGGGCGGGCGGGCGGGGCTAGTACTTGATAAGATGAGATTGATTTTGGTAAATGACGTTTCCTCTAAGAAAATAAAGACCGAGTGGGTGGGGCAAAAAAACCGAAAATTTCAAAATTGATTTGAAAATTTGAAAAATCGACAAATCGAAACATCGGAAAATTGGAAAATCGAAAATTCAAGAAATCTAAAAATCGAGAATGTGAAAAATTGGAAAATCGAGACATCGAGAAATCGAAATATCTAAAATTGAAAAATGAGGATAAAAAATCGAAATGCCGAAAAGTAGAAAAATCGAAAACTCCAAAATAAAAAAAAAATGGAAGGTTGAATAATCGAAAAACTGTAAAATTAAACTGAAAAAATTGGAAAATAAAAATTCGAAAAAATAATATAATCAAAATATTTCAAAATTAAAAAATTAGAATGAAAAGTAGTAAAACTGAAAAATCGAATAAATAATCGAAAAATTGAAACATCAAAAATAACTAAAAACCGAAACATTGAAAAACAGAAAAGTCGAAATCTGAAAAATCGAAAAAGTTGAAAATGAAAAAGTCAAGAAATCGAATAATCGACAAATCGAAGTATTAAAGAATAGGAAAAGTAAAATACCGAAAAATCAAGAAAAAAAAATTGAATGATTGAAAAAGTAAAAAACCGAAATTTAAAGAATATCGAAATCACGAAAAATTGAAATATCGAACAAATTGAAAAATCTAAAAATAGAAAAATCGACAAAATTAGAAAAATTGAAAAATTGAATAGATAATCGCAAAACTGTAAAACCGCAAAATTGGAAAATCGAAAATTCCAGAAAAGGAAAAACCCATAAAAAAAAAATGTGAAATTTGAAAAATCAAAAATCAAATATTTAATAAATGAATAATTGGAAAATTTAGAAATAACATTGCGAAATGTCAAAAAATCAGAAAAATCGAAAACTTGATAAGCCGAAAATTCGAAAAATAGAAAAATTCAAAATTTAAAAACCTGAAAAATTGAAAAATAGAAAAAGTGTTGAATCAAAAATTGACAAAACAAAACATCGAAAAACTGAAAGTTCGAAAATTGAAACATCGAAAAATCAAAAGCAAATAATTGAAAAAACGATAAAATAAAAATCCAAAAACCTATAAAATGAAAATTTGAGAAAAGAAAAACCGAAAAAGAAAAATGTAAAAAATCCCACCCAAAACTGAGTATTTTTCGGTGAGCCTAGTTTTAGGAATAAGACGAGACAACATGGCAATCAAACCTGCGCTAAAGCCAGGCGTTTATTTATTTCGATGCCATTTAGAGCCATTGTAGCCGAATTTCGTTAAGTTGTTAATTAAGACTTTGTGAGCATGGGATCGGGCTTGCATGCACCACACTGACCCAAATTCTAAGTTCATTTGTGATACAATTGAATAGAATAGTGCACGACGTAACCTCTGGTTTTTCGCTGGGGGCTCTTCCGGACACGGTTTAGTTTTTTTGTTTAAGTTGGTAACGCTGACGCCTGAATTG